AACTATGACAGCTGAAAGCCTAGAAAACCTTCAACCATGCCATAGAAGTCAAATTAACCTTTTAGAGTCTATACCTCCATATAGTGAGCAAGTTGGTTCATGTCTGCATGAGGCCTTAGGGAGATTTGGTTCAAGATAAAGGAAAGCTGTATGTTATGACCAAAACCTTGGAAATATTACTTTTTGAAAATAACAGTTCCCAAAATCTCCTAGACACTATGGACCCCAGGAGTTGTAGGTCAAAAAGTAACTTTTACAAGCTTTAGTTGCATTGATTATGAAGAACTGACCGTGATTTGGCTCCAGCACATATGATAATATTTAGAGACCTTGTATCTTTAGTATTGTATTACATTATTCCTGGTGGGGAATAGCTGGTGATGCTCAATTTCTCCTTAGTGATAAAAGCAAATCTGGTCATTAGGCGTATACATAATTTTCTCTCTAATATTTTGCTTTACAGAACTGTTTTTCTATGCTCAATATTTCCTGGTATGGAGGAGCAACTGTCAGGAGCCAGCACTGGCCTCTGAATAATGTGAACATCAAGTCCCAACCATTCATTATCAGTAACCTTAACAAAAAACCTAGTGCCTATGGATCTGTCCTAGAAAGGTACTTCTTGGGATCTACTGGTAAGATTGCTTGTCCTCCCTTGATTTTCCAGTACTATGGGATATTAATCACTGATCTTTGGCTTCAAATATTTGGATTGGGGGGTGGTCACCTGTACCATTAGGCAAAGAGAGGTAGCTCTCTCAGTCAGCTGATTTACAGTTTCACTAAAGCGCAACAAATATTTAGCCACCCACTGTATTATTATTATATGTTTATTGTCAGCTAGATGGAGAGGTCATACGGAATTTTTTTTTAAAAAAAACTTAAGACATCAAAATAAAATATGAAAGCCTGAGTGCTATTCTTCTTGACCAGGAGAGTGGTGACCATCTGCTACTTTACCTCAGGCAGCAAAATATCATTGTCAGGTTCTGGTACAGTCCAAATGACTCAAAGACAAAGAAAAAAAGCCATTATTTTCTCTGGAAAGGGAGTTTAGCTACCTCATATAGCTGCTCCTCTGTTATAATCAACCAGAGATAATTTATCACATCTTAATAATGTGCAAAGTGACAGCTCTGAGCATTATCATGCCTTCTTGTTTCCTTTCACTTTGAGGCACAGTTTACTGTTTTTAAAAAAATGTTCAAGGAAGAAGGTTAAGGGAGTGTGAAGCAGTATTTCCCACTCTACTCCTTTCTACCAACACTGAATGCATGCAACATAAAACACAGTGGGTCCAGAAAACATTTTTGCACATTAAGTGATTTCTGCTTAAATTTACATGTGCAAAATGTTACATGAGCTAGTATAGACAAAATGTCAATTTGATTTCCCTTATGTCTGCTCTTGTGCATTAACAATATTTGTAAATAGCATATTATTTCAAACAGCATTTTTTATTTCACAAATGTAAAAGAGTTTAATTGATCCTGGCTGCCTGGTGTCTATGCCTTGCCAAATTTTAGAAAAGCAGGAAGAATATGCTCCAGAGCTTGGAAATTTTACTTCTTTGGACTAGACCTCCCAAAATCCCCTAGCCAGCATAGCCAGTGCCCATATATACTGACTGGGGAATTTTGATAGTCTGAAAATGTAACATTTACATGTTCTGATATGCTCCTTTCCTAGAAGAGAATGTATGGCATCTGTGAGCTGATTATCACACTGTGATTACGATTCCCTGCTGGATCAATAACCTTGGTAGGAAGGGAATGCTTGTTTTTCTATGCTGTGTTCAGTTAGAATATGGTATGTACCTCCATTACCTAAAACAGGGTTCGGCGACTGTGAAGATTAGGGGACCACATTAGCCCTCCAGAGACCTTGGAGGGCTGCACTTCCATCACACCTGCTCCTGCAAAAACAAATCAGTTTTCCCCAAATGCCACCTTCAAGTATCATAGAGGACATGGGGGCATGTTTTGGGACCTTCCTGGGTCCCTAGAAGTCATACTTAGGTATTCTGAGGCAAAAAAAAAAATGTTTTTGAAAAATTTTGCACATTTTTGTTTTGACTGCAGGAGGTTCAGTGGAGTCGAAACATGCTGGAAATGCCCTCCACACCTCCAAGATTTCAAACAACTCTGAGGTTGCACAATACCCACACACAGCACTTTGCTCACTCCTGATCTAAAAGGATCTCATTACATTGATAGTATTCCATTGGCATGCTGAGATTTTAATACTTAATTCTAGAATTATATATCGTATTCCATTAGTACACAACAGAATGTCACTCCAAGCGCAGCCCCAAGCAATATAATTAGGATTATTGAGTCATATATACAAGACTTATTGATTTTGAAACACAGAAAACCCAAACCAGAGTCACAAAGAGGCCTGCCATTGATTTAGTCCTCAACTAAGGGGGGTTGCAGACTGCCAGAAATAGTGTGAATTCAGTCCACTTTTAGGGTTAGGGTTAGAGTTAGGGAACCATGGGAACTGTATTTTATTGTGGCACCAGAGTTGTCTGACAGAGAAGGCTCAATGTCTCAGGAACATAACAGTTCCCATGATTCCCTAGCACTAACCCTAACCCTAAAAGTGGACTGAATTCACACTATTTCTGGCAGTCTGCAACCCCCTTAAGATAATCCACTGCCTGTTGGTGATGAACAATTAATAGTGCTTCTAAACTGAGGGCTCCTATTGTTTATGACTCTAAAAGGTACCAGGCAGCTATTGCTGTATCCACACTGCAGAAATAAATCAGTTTGACACCACTTTAATTATCGTGGCTGAATGCTATGGAATTCTGGGAAGTGTAGTTTCTTGCAGCACCAGAGCAAAGTTTTGGTGCCAAAACAAACCAGAATAGCATTGAGCCATAAGAGTTAAAGTGGTGTCAAACCAGATTATTTCTACAGAGTGAATGTAGCCCTTGTGACATTTTTCCTCAATTTTTTTCCCCTCTGGTAGGAAAAAAGGTGGAAGAAACAATAGGGAAAGATGGGAAGATTGACTATCATTGTTACTTTGGATAAACATTATTGAATTAGGCATTCCGAGATGATGATACTGTATCAGAAAATTGGGATCAGAGACCTCTCAGAGTAAGGAAAATGAGTTTATTTGGGGAAAAAGGGAATGCCAGTGGGCTCAGCAGGAAATAACTTTCCAGAGGTGTTGAGCCCTGAACTGAGCTCCTGAGGATCTTTTTATAGTAATCTTACAAGCATGTCAAGCATATAGGAAAACCGCTCCTCCCTCCCTTTCTAGTTCAGTTAGTTTCACAATATTCCACACATCTTGCTAAGCAGGCATTGTTTACAGAACATGAGAATCTATGTAGGACAAAGAAAATGTTTACAGTACAGGAAGTCTGCAATCTTATCAGTACGAACCTTGATTACAGTACAGAGCATCACCTGAACTTTAGCTAAAAGAAGCAATCAGATAGACAGAAAAATTGTCAAAGTCTCATCTGGAGTCCCAGTTGATTATCTAGTCTGACCCCGAATAGCAATCATAGGTAATCATAGACCATCATTTTAAAATGCAGTTTTTCAGCTATAAGCAATTGACTATTTCAATACAAGTAGAGACTAGTGGTGCCCTAAGATACCAGAGAGGAACTTGTTCCCTTGGAAGCAGAATAAACAGCTAGCAGATAGGTACACATAGGCCTATGGTTGCGAACCTATGGCACACGTGCCAGAGATGGCACACAAAGCTATTTTTTGTGGCACAGGGGACAGGGAAGGGAGGAAAAGGTGCATACCTGTTCCTCCTCCTCCCTGGCCATCCTGGGCCTTCAGCTGTCTCTGAAGAAGAAGTCCTGCCCCGGAAGTCCCATCCCAGAAGTCCTGGCCCCAGGGTAACACCTGGTGCCGAAAGGCCTTTTAGTTTGGACACTCAGTCCCTAAAAGTTTCGCCATCACTGACGTAGGCTCATTTTACCCTTCAATTAAAAGGTGGGATTACGGCAAGGAGAGGCAGCTCTTATTTCTCATACCCTTGTTCCAAGAATTATATTGGAAATGTATCTAATGAAAGATTCAATGAAATACACTGTTAATCATCTATTTTATTCCCCCTCCCTCCTGTCTCTAAAGGGGTGACAGTAATGATTGCCTCCGATATTCCTATCTCCATGTCAGTAGAGAGGAACAAACAGTTTTGCCTCGAGAGCCCCATTGGCACTGACATGGTCTCCCTGCAGTACTCTGTGTGTGTCAGTCCAAACATCACTTCTGCCCATCAGAAAGTGGGAAGCCAGCTTTCAGGACAACAGAGACGCCTGCCGGAGACTGACCTACTTAGGTAAGGAAAAGATGGGAAGGTTTGAAATGAGGCCCATTCATGTTGTCATCCATCCTTTTATTAATATCTTTGGAATCTAATGATTTAATCTAATTTATACATGTAGGTCAGGGGGTGTGTGTGAAAAAGTAGCCTGTGGAATGCATGTGGCCATTTTTAAGCCCCCAGGGTAGTCCAATGGTTGCAGAAATGAGAAGGATGCTGGTGGTTTCCACTTCTGAATTGTGACGTGTCTCTTGCCATGGATATTATCATTATGAGTGCTTGGTAGCTTGCAGACTAGAACTTCTTGCTCAGTATTAATACTTACCTACATTAAAAGTACAAGGATTTAGTTCTTTATAAATTTACCAGTTCTTAACACTAGATACTACTTTGGTAGGGAGCCAGGAGCTTATTGCATTACCTTTTAAAGCGGAAAAAGCCTCCTGGGATGCAGCCAGGATGCTGGATGGGGGTGGGAATTATCACACAGTAAGGTGCCACCAAATTGCTGGGTGACTGCAGCCCGGGTCGTCACCATGCTCAGCCGGCCCTTTTTAGAAAATGGAAAGCTTTTCTAAAGCCCAGTGAGTCGGCAGCAACTTACTGTGCAATAATTCCCACCCCCCATCCAGTGAGCTGGATGCATCCCAGGAGGATTTTTCTGCTTTAAAAGGTAATGCAATAAGCTCCCCAATGTGGCATAGTGGTTTGAGCATTAGACTATGACTCTGGAGACCAGGTTTGAATTCCTGCTTAGCCATGAAACCCACTGTATGACCTTGGGCAAGTCACACTCTCTCAGACTTGGAGGATGGCAATGGCAACCCCCCCCAAAAGAAACCTGCCAAGAAAACCCCATGATAGGGTCACCTTAGCAATAGCAATAACCTTTTACATTTCTATACTGCTTCCCTGCTACACTATTCAGTGTAGGGTCACCATAATTCGGAAACAACTTGAAGATACACAACAACAAACCACTTTGGTAGCAGTATAACATTGCTCTTGTGAACTCCTTCAAGGAATGCTAACATAGCACATGGCCAACTACCCAACACAAGTAGGAACTCTTGTGGCACATGAGAAAACATTTTGAAGTGTACCAGTTGTACAATTAATTATGTATTCAGCCAACCGCTACCGATGGTAGATAACTGTCTCTTTTAACTCCTATAAACATGTATGTCTGCCACTATGTTTTTTTATTAGCAATAGTAGTTTGATAGTGATAGTTATTTACCCATTGTGTAACAGGGGAAGCTAGAATTCTGAAGCTCTACGAAGTTAATAGTGAAAAATATCTTGTGCTGGGAAAGCTACCTGACAGTAGTTGCTCCCAGAATTGTGGCTATGGGATTTCTTGGAGTTATAGTCCAAAAAGTTAACATTCCAAGCTTTGCTGCTGACCATGGTAGCCCCAGATCACAACCTTAGTCTTCATTGTGTGCTTTTACCCTGTCAGCTGCTGAAGTTTAATAAGAGGAGGATATACTGCTGAACTGCCTTGAAGTAGGTTACTGAGTGTTGCTCTTGCAGAAGGATGAAGAAGATGACCTTTTGATCTGGCCCAACATGGCAATTCCCTTTATACAGATGGAGTTCAGTCGCTTATTCAGTCCCTGTAATTTATTTTGGTCAAACATGAATCTTCACTTTCCTGTTACATTATGAAATGGAATCCAGGAAACTGTATCATATTAAGACTTTTAACATTTTATTCAAGGAAGAAACAGGCTCAAGAGCCTCCATACTTTATATTATTTAATATTTTCATAGAACTTAACTAGATGTCCAGGATTAACCTATACATTTTGGGTTTGTGGTGTTCTTCTGATTTGAAAAAAAAAATCTGTAGCCCAAACAAACAACAGTGTGATAAGATAAATATGTTAACTATCAATACAGGTTGCCTGTCTGGAAGTACAATGGAGCGGCAGATTCTGCTGCCAAAATGGAGCGAGGATTAAGATCTTTCTACAATAGGTTGCAAAGGGATCTCGTGGAAGGGCTAATCATTCTCAGTGAACATTCCACAACGCTACTTCGCAACATGGTATGTGGATTTTCAGAGGGCACATACCATAACTATGGGGCAAAAGTTTCATCTGCCTTCTTTATTTCTGAAATATTTTAAACTCTGGTATTCTACATTAAATTATCTGTTTTTAAATCATTGGTATCTCTTTTTAAGTCCTTGGATTATGGTTTTCAATCTAGGCACTAATTAAACCCCCACCCCCCAATTCCACATCTCAGACCATTCACCTTGAGCACTCAACACTGAAGCACTGTTGAAATGAAGGCTAGGTATAAACCTGATGAGTGGAAGCCTGGTCTAAGATATTTAGGGCCTGAACAGACTGCCAGAAATAATCCATCTTGAGACTTTAACTTGAGACGACTTTAACTGTCCTAGCTCAGTGCTAGGGAATCTTGGGAACTGTAGTTTATTATGGCACCAGTGCTCTCTGACAGAGAAGGCTCAATAGCTCAGAAAAAACTACAGTTCCCATGATTCCCTAGCATGGAGCCAGAGCAGTTAAAGTGGTCTCAAGCTGGATTATTTCTGGCACTCTGTTCAGACCCCTAATTCCAGTATGAGAACCCCTTTACCTATAAATAGAAGCTATATTTAGCCTGTTCATATTTTGCTAAAGAGGCAACTCTACTCTTTTCCAGCACTACTTCACATACTACTGCTCTTGTGATAAAGTTCCAAATAGAAAGTAGGGAAAACTTGTCAAACATATGATCTGGTATCTTGTGGAGTATCATTTTAGTAATGAATGAATAACCTGTTGTGGTTCACTTTTGCTTCCCAGTATTAGCCTTGGTCTTAGTGACAAAATTATGGTCTAACAATGTCCTCTCTTTCCACTTTTCACAGGATAACACATATTTACCTGTTGTGAGAAGAAAAAGGCTGCACGCTCTAAGACTTGACATGGACTACTCACTTATAAAACCTCTCAAACTTTCCATAACTCTTTCCCCTCATGCAAGCATCAATTCCCAGCTTTTTCAGATGTCTCTGCAGGAAGGCAAAGAAGACTTTTGGTTAAGCCATCAATCAGAATCGGGTGATTACATGGTACAAGTCCTGAATAATTTCTCTTTCACTTGAACAGATGCATTTAGTGCTTCCTGATGTTGTCAGGAGATATAAGGGCTGCTTGGCTTACTTGGTGTACTTTAGCACAGTAGTTCTTCATTTCTGATGTTCCAATGTTTGGGATGTCAGTTTCTGGAAGTCCCAGACAGCATAGCCAGTTATCAGGGATTCAGAGAGCTGAAGCTCAAATCAACTGGAGGGCCAAAGGTAGCAATTCACTGCTTTAGTAGAGAATTAGCGCCAAACTACATAAAGGGATGGGGCCCTGGCATAGCAGAGAAGGTATGCAGCCCAGGGATGGGAAACCTTTAGGCAAGATGTAATTTGTGGAAACTATTTTCTGGTCTGCAAGTTCTTTCTGCAATTCACACTGATCCATGAAAGGAGTAGAAGATATAAAATGCTGTTTAAAATCTGTGAACCTGTGCCATGGAATTGAACCCTGGTTTGCAGTCTGGGAAGTTGTTGCATGGGATTGAACTATGCTTTAAAGCCCCCAAAGCTAGTGCGCTAGGACTTCCTCTTTAATAGACATGAATACAATTGAGTTATGCTTTGTTGGTCAAGTAAGAAAATCTCCAAATTGATAAGAATGACATCTGCCCCCTCCTCCTTTTACTTTGGCTTGAGCCCCATCTGCTGCTGAAGTACATTCAGCCCCTGAGACTTTTCCCCACTTTGGAATTCTGCTCCAGGACCAACATGAGGTTCACCACTTCTAGCTTCCACTTCCATGGTGCACCATAACCTTTCCAGAGTTGCTGTAGACAACAAGGGAAAACATGAGACAAGCAGAGAAGGGAAATATCAGGTCATTTGGTAAGCTAACCTTGAATCAACACTCTATATATGTGTTTGAGAGGCTAAGTGGCAAACAAATAGTGGAGCCTACTGCCAGGTTTGTTGCCCACCAGCCATAGCTGTGTATGTGCCTATAAGTCACATGTTCACTTCTGGCAACCCCATTAATTTCACAGGGTTTTCTTAGGCAAATAATACTCAGAAGTGGTTTTGCCAGTCCCTTCCTCTCAAATATACTTAGAGCACCTAGTACTCCTCAGTAGTCCCCCATCCAAGTGCTAATCAGAGGGGACCCTGCTTAGCTTCCAAGAAGATGGGATTTGATGCCTTTAGGGTGTTTATACTAATTGTTAATCAACTATATCTGTACAGTAACCCTCACAAATAACAACAGAGTGATTAGGATTGAAGTTTGGGAGCCCTTTCATACTGCACAATTATAGTACTATGATCCTACTTTGCTGTGGTTCCTTCTTACATAAGTCATTTAGGGAGGAGCATTTAGAATGCTTAGCCAGAAAACTCTGGTGCTTCACCAAACTATGAATCTCAGAATTCCTTAGGATGCAGCCATGACAGCTAAGTATAATCATTGGACAAAGGGGGAAATTGGGAGGAGGAGAGAGAAACTGAGAAATTTTAAAAACACCTGAAAAAGTGAGATGGCAGAGAATTAATTGGGACTGTCCATACCAAATCAGGGTATGCAATCCTACAAAATAAAACCAGGATTAGATATAGCCACTCCTACAGGGCAATAAAGAGGTCTAAACACCCAGAAGGCACCCTATCCCATTGGATCTTAGGCCCTAAGCACGGTCAGGCCTAGATAGTAACAGGGAAAACCAGGTGCTGCAGGTTCTACTTCAGAGGAATGCAGTGACAATCCACCCCTAAGTATTCCTTGCCTAAGAAATTCCTATGAAATTCCAGGGTTGCCATAAGTCAACAATCACAACACACATCAGTTCTACAATATCAACCAGCCCTATGTCAAATAATGCCTGCTGCCCTTTCTTTTAATGCAGAACCACCATGCAACCTCGTCTCTGAGCAGATATTCTGAAAAAAGTCTTGCTGCTATATTATAAAATGCTAAACTGATTTCCTGGTTCATCAATCTAACAATTGATTTGTAGCACAAGGTAATTATCCGAAGCTCCTGCTTTGTCATTCTGATGTCTGCTTTTCTGTTGCAGGTGCCACTGCTAACCAAATGGAAGGGACAGTTTTCTGCTCGTCTGAATGTAACCAGCCAGGCAGCTGTGCTCTGGTACATGGACCAAGTGAGACTCTTGAAGCAGCAGTTGGGAGCAGAATATATAGCTATTGAAGGTGGCGAAGGCAACTTATTTATGGAGCAAGCCATCCCACCTCCCACAGAACTCAGTGGGGACAAGTACATCTACATTCTGGCCTTGATGGCAGCTACACTGGGAAACACATCAATAATTAGTGCTGCCACAAGGTGTGTCTCAGGAAAAATCTACAAACCATGTATATTTCTAAGTCAGTCTTAGCTTTGTTTTCCACTTAATCTTGTCAAAGCTAGAAAAATAATCCCCAAATCTTTGCAGCATTAGAAAATGCTGGTAATACATTAGTGTTTTCAGATTGCTGTAAAGTGGGAATGGGGAGGGGTGATAATGGTTATAAAAGCCTTCCTTTTCTTCTCTGTAGAAGAGAATACAATCATGCAATAAAAGAAAGAAGAAAAGCAAAAGCAAAGGGAGATAGGAACAAAGCCAGAAGTATGAACACAATTGACATGCAGGGATAAGAAGAAATACTACAATGACCAGTGCAGATAAATAAACACAACAACAAAAAGGGAAGAATGAGAGACC